TAGTACTGATATGATCTCTACAGTCTACACGTGCGATATCGATATTGACTCTAGTTCTGAACCCTCTAGTAATAAGTTATAAGAAATATATATACTGGAAGTTATCTATGCGTTTTATTAGAGTCTGACTCACGTCCTCTATACTGTATCCAAATGAATATCCTCCAATGCATTTAAAAATTAAATTTCACTTTTCTATATCTGCAAGTCAGACTAACCGTTCAAAACAAATTTTTAAATAAAATCTTTTTTAAGCTACGAATGAAAATTTCCGAAAGTATTTTGATTTAATATTTAAGTCTGCCATATCTCTGATTCTAATAAATCCTTTGTTTAAAGTGAGAAAGACCTGAATATTTAAAAAGAAAACAAGAAAGTTAAAAAGTTTCAACAATGATAGTATATTATTTGTTCGACAAATAGTCTAAGCTATAAAGTTACCACTTATTTTCACAATAGAATATATAATTGACCAGGGTATAAATACTAACATTATAACATATTCGAATTTATTCCCGCATGTATAAATAACCATTATTAAAAATAAAAATAAAAACATGCAGTTGGATACGTTAATTTTATAATACTTTAAATAAAAAAATGTAAAGATGCAACTTTATTTCAATTCTAATGTAAGCGGGAAAATATTTATCACATGTTAAAAGCACTAAATAAAAACTTTATTTATTTTCAAACAAATTATAAACAAGATCTGTTGAAAGAAATCTCCTTTTATCCTTCCATGAAAATGTCCCTGAAAAAAAGTCTGAATTTATGAAATACGCAGAAACAAAATTTATATATTTCTGAAATTTTTTTCTTTGAGCGTAATTTTAAGTAAACCTCTAATCAAAGATGGCAATGCCCGAAACAGTACCCTTGAAAGGGACTGTAAGCGTAATGTTTAAGTAAACCTCTATTCAAAGATGGCAATGCCCGAAACAGTATCTTTAAAGGGACTGTAAGCGTAATGTTTAAGTAAACCTCTATTCAAAGATGGCAATGAAACAGTACCTTTAAAGTTTTGTCTGAAAAGTATAAATTAAACTTTGATGTTCATAACTTTAAATTCTGATTAGTTTTATGTTTAGTTAACTTAAAACGGAAACGACAATATCTTCCACAATTAATCAGATATAAGAGTTATAAGAGTACCGTTGTGACTTGGACATTGCCATAGTTGTATTGTGGGTCATAGGAAATTATACGCTTGTAGGGAAATGTGTTTTGCGGCAAGCGCGCTTCTCAATTGGTAATCTTCTTGAAGTTTAAATCCTTTATTTGCAGGATTGAAATGTTTGTCTTGGAAAATACATTTTTTGATATATTTAAAATAGTAGAATAAATATTCATTTTCAGGGATAAAGTTACTTAAGGGAAAACACCCTTTCTTAGAAAAGAATTAAAAGAAAAAAACTATGTAATAGTTAAAATTTTTTCATTCTTTGTGTGATTCATTGTAATATTTCATCATGTATAGCAGCGGATCGAAACAGATTCTTCTTTTTCTGGCTTTTTAATTTGATTTTTTAAGAATACTTTTTATTACTCACAAATTAGTTAAAAAAAAAATAAAGGTCGGATCAAAATCCCGTTTTTTTCGACCATTGCATCTCCTAGGGTTATATATAAAAAGTTACCAAAATATCTTGGAAGGGTACGTCGCGTTTTGAATCTGATATGCCACCCTATTTATTGAGGGTCTCATGAAATTACTTAAACTATCCCTGAAAGTCTCATCTTTCATGGGTAATATTGTATTTGTGAATCATTGAATAATGATAATTAAGGTTGTTGGTTTTACTGCAGTAATTCTGCATATTGATCAAACTATATCCCAGCTTTACAACAACATAATACTAAGAAATAAATAAAATTCAAGGAAATGAAATTCTTTGAAGGGACTGTAAACGTAATTTCAAGTTACACTTCATGTTAAGAGGGTAGTGTCCGATTTTCAACGGTCCCCTTCAAACCTTTGGGTGTTCGTCTATTACAGAGATATGTGTGTGTAAACTTATCGAAAACCGCAAGATTTCAGCTGCAATTTTCAGTTTACTCTGGGTTGAGTTCGTGCATGTACCCAATTGCAGCTGAATACAAGCGGGGTCCTTTAAATTTACACACGGCCTCTTTGCATAAAGGGTCACTTTAAATTAAGCTTAAAGTCCCTTTAATTAAATTTGATTTCATTTGTAATTTTTAACTGGTGTTGGCTTTAATTAATAGGGTATTTAAAACATAAAAATTAACTTAATAAAATAAAGGTTATTGGGCATATTTTTGTTAATTCCTTCACTTTAGAGGTATTGCTCACTTTTTTTAAATAATGCCAGAATAATCGAATTCTATTTCTATGACGTTAAATTAACTGTTGTGTGTTTGCCGAAAAATCGAATTTTTTGAAGATTTTGTTTACATTTTTTTCAGATCAAATAGAATCTTAAAGAAAATTTTTCTGAATGTGTCATCCTTCAATGTACGCCACGATATTTACGAGAACAAAAAAAACAGTTTCCGGGAAAAGTGACGGATTTGTTGAAAAAGATATTTCGATAAAGATAATTTGATAAAGATATGGGATTATTTCTAAGAAGTGACTGAAGTTGTCCTGAATTCATCAAAGCTCATATGCTAGTGGGGGAAGTAACTGAAGTAACTGAAGTTGACCTGAATTCATCAAAGCTGATATGCTAGTGGGGGAAGTAACTGAAGTAACTGAAGTAACTGAAGTTGACCTGAATTCATCGAAGCTGATATGCTAGTGGGGGAAGTAACTGAAGTAACTGAAGTTGACCTGAATTCATCGAAGCTGATATGCTGATCACCATCTATATCTGCTTCCTAATAATACAAAATATACATTTTTTTCAAATAAAAAAAATATACATTTTTTTGGCGGCTTTCAATCTAAAAATTTTAATTGGATTTTATTAAGATTTTAATGATTCAAATTTAAAAAGACTTGAGCCAATATAATTGAGATGAAGTTCATTTATTTTAATAAAACCACTATTAATATATTCAAACTTTTGCCTTCGTTTTAGAATTATGTTTGACTGAATACAGGGTGTCTATATTTGACTAAATAGTAAATACAGGGTGTCCGAATAATTCTGACAATTGTTAAACAGCTTTTTTCTCTCTTTGGGTAGGCGGGATAGATAAAACTAATTTTGTACAAAGAAAGCCAGGGTCAAGAGCTACCTCAGACTTGGGAATTTTTAACGCTTGTTATAGGAAAAGACGTCAATCCAGTTATAAAACAAAACGTTTTGAATTTGAAAATTGAAAATTTAAAAATTTGAAAATTGGCAAGATTTTCAATCGGAAATACATGTATAGCACTTTTCTTAAAGTTTAGATTAACCATGGATCTGTCTAACTATTGCTGCTTTTTTAATTATCTCAGAAAAAGGGGAACCATCGGAATTAATTTAAAAGATTGCGGAAGAGAAAGACGCATTTGTCTTTTTAATGGACTTAACTAAAAAAGCTGGATAATGATTTTTATACATCATTTAAATATTTATTTATTAATTGATTTTTATGTGTAAAATATATTCTAATATGTAAAATTTGCTATTTAATTTGACCTTACGTTCTAATTTTAAGGTATTGAAGGGGGCATGCCTAAATCACAAGGTATCCTAAACCCCTTATTCCGATCAAAAATGTTTACGATAATGTCGCCTTAAAGTGTTTAATTCTAATAATTTCTCGAATGTTTCTGAAGCAAGAAATGCGCATGAAATAATAAGATTTCAAAAAACGAAACATGGATATATAATTCATCCTTGATCATACAAAGCTTCAAAGAAACCCATCGTGCATCGGACATGCCGCTCTATCAATGGAGGTTCCCTTAAAATTATGTTTAAAGATATAACCTGAACCATCTCCTGGAGCTCGTTGTCTGTGAACAAAACTCCAAGCCTGAAAAAAATCATGAAAAAAGTTGCAAATAAAAATGATTAACTAATTGCTTCGAAAACAAATTATAAGAAAAAGTAAAAGTCTCAGCTGATACTTTTCCCACGCATTCTGATACCTAATGTAGTTTTATTAAATTTTACTCAGTTTTTTTAAAGCAAGTCGATTAAGTTACTTGATCACCCTGCTGTCAACTAGATATAAGAATGAATTAAGTTCAAGTTGACTTTTAGATTTTAGAATAAGCTGGGTATCTATAGTAGTAACAGCTGTTTATAATTCTGTTCATAACTTAAAAACCCCTTGAACGATATGCCTTAATCTTGATTGGGAAATTCGTCAGAACCACGGGAATGTTGGTTTGAATATTGGTTGATTTATGTAGGGAAAGTTTATATTTCCACTCAAAGCTTAGTTCCCAAACTAGTCATGATATACAGTGGCAAGTAATTATAACTATACAATGAAGGCGACTTCTTCATTTAAGTTTTGAGTAGTACGGTCCGTACTGGATCAAGTAAAATATATTACCCCTGAAATTTTGGATAAGGATTTGATGTACAATTGGAAAAAGTAAGAAACATTTCTTTTTTAATTTAGTAAAATATATTTATTCCCTGAAATTCCTGAGAAATTCTCAGGGTTTGGTCACCAATTTTAAGATTTTTTGGGGGAACAGAATAATAGACATAGTTTAGAGTATATCCTGAGAATTTCTCTAGAATTTTTCTCAAGAAGTTCCTAAGAATTTCTCCGGATATTCCTGAGAAATTCTCAAGACTTCAGCACAGAATTTTCAAGTTTTGTTTTTCTCCAACAGCTGTGTCTCTTAGAGAGTGGGAGAGAAGTGATAGCGAGTGAGAAAGAGTGAGAGTGTCAGAGAGTTAGAGAGAGTGCGAGAGAGTGAGAGAGAATGAGAGAGAGTAAAAGAGAATGAGAGAGAGTAAGAGAGAGTAAGAGAGAGTGGGATAGAGTGAGAGAAAGTGACCCAGCTCGGGTATTCAAATGTACACCAGTTGTGCGTGGACTGGACGCAGTTCAATGTAATTGTACGTTTCACATGAACTATAAATAGATACCTGTGTAATACATATTTTAACTCCGACGTAGAAACATAGCCGTTACCATCCTTAATTAAACATAATTGAAAGATATAGATAATTGATTGTTATATGCTGTCCGAATAACCTTGCCAATTTCAAAATGGATAAATTTTTAAATTTATTAATTATATTTCTAACTTAAAGGGACTGTAAGGACAATTTTAATTATGCAAAGAAAGCAATGCCTGATTTACAATGGTACCCTTGAAAGTTTTGTCTGATCAAGTATATGTTAGATATCCATGTTTAAAACTTTGAATTTTATTTTTCAATTGGCGTATCTCTACAAAGTGACTTGCGTATTTCTACAGCAGAACACATATAGAAATTATCAGTAATAAACACTTTCAAAATCTAGAAAACCAGCAATTACTTCATTATTGATCAATTAAAGGTTTAAAATATACCATTGTGAACCGGACATTGTTGTCTTTGCATGTAAGGTCACTAAAGTTTAAAAATATATTGGTTTCCGCGTTGTCAAATCATTCAATCTTGCGATCAAAAGTTCAAAGCCACGTATCTGTTCATGAAATACTTTAAATTGCGCAATTTAATAATAAAATTTGCCCATATTTTTTTGTACATAATGAGGATGTTTTTTCTCAATAAAATTGAACAACTTAATAACAAAACAATTTTTACAGGTTATATATATGCCGCATTCAATTACTCCTAGTTTGTGAAATAATGAAGTTTTGAGATCATGTATTATCTCATGAAATCTTAATTATAATAGCCTTAATTTCTAGTTCCTATGATACAATGTTAGCTAAAACAATTTTCTAAATATTTTTTTCATGATTTAAACATAATTTCAAGTATTCCTTCCATTAAAGAAGGGCCTGTCCTATTCCCAATCACAACAGATAGCTTTTTGACCCAGTATACTAGCAACAATGAGAAACATATCCCAGTTTTTAATCTGGAAAACAACTTGATTTTTTTCATTTTCTTCTTATTTAAATCCGCTTTTATGGAGCACTCATACTCTTCTTTGAACAAAGGAACACTTGAAATAACGTGTACAATCCCTTTAATATCCGATCGTATTGTACAATCCCTTTGATATTCGATCGTATATCATTGATTTTTATAAATTAAAAACCTTATCAAAGACTCTAAACGCCTGCTTCAAATCTTCTGGGGTCTCTTTCTCAGATTCTCTCTAGAAAATCATATCTTAACTGTTTATCTTCTAATTGATTAGCTTAAAGGGACTGCAAGCGTAAGTTTAAGTGACTCTCCATGCAAAGATGACAATGCCCGATTCACAACGATACCCTTTAAACCTTTATCTGATCAATAATGTGAAAAATTGCAATTTTTCTGGTTTTAAAGAGTTCAAATAGTGTTTATTCCTATATGTTTTCCTGCAGTAGAAATGCGCAAGTCCCTTTAGTAGAGAATTCCAATATTGCCAGTTTTCCCAACTATAAACATGGATATCTAATTCATACTTGATCATACAAAGCTTTCAAGGTACCATTGATAATCATTGTCAATGTCAATGCCATTTTTGCGTAAAGGGTAACTTGAAATTACGCATACAGTCCCTTTGAATGAAAACGTATACGTGAAATGAAAAACCTCAGCTTGGCTCTTTTTAAAGTTTAGACGACAAACATTATTTATAATAGGTTTTGGCAAAATTACAAAAACTTCTTAAGTAGCTGAAATTAGAGATTTTGCGATTTTTTGCATTCCGTTTCTTCAACGTTCGTTTTTTTCAATCTATCTATCTATTACTGAACGATCTTTTAGTAAAATTGTTCGTTCAGAAAATCGTTTGTTCCGTAAAATCGTTCGTTAAAAATAACGATATTTTACAACATTTTGTTCAAAAAATCGTTCGTTCAGTAAAAAACAAAATTATTGTGCTTTTTATCCCTCATGGTCTCTTCATGGTAAATTTCATTACAGACGTGCTATAAATAAATCATCAAGCTATAATGTTAAAATAGCTAAGCTAGAGATGAAGTAGGATCTAAAAAAGCTTTGAACACTATAATGCACTAGGAAATAAAACACTAGTCTTATAGATAGTTATCGACATTTTAAACTTTATTTTTCAGATGCCAAGTTTCTAAATATCTTCGACATTGCAGGACTGCAGTCTAATTTTTTTTAACCCAGGATTTAGATAAAATAATAATTTAAACAGTCCTCACCTTTATCATTAGTTCAACAAATTCTACAAAATCAACAGAACCTGAACCGTCAGCATCTGCGTCCTAGAAAATAATTATAATTCTATCAAAAAAATATTTTTCTAATAAAGGGTGTCACACTTTCCATGCCAAAAAAACAAACAACATGAACAACATGAACAACATGAACAACATTAAAAGCATGAAGATTGCTGAAAATGACAAATGCTTAACTATAAGTTGACAGTGATCTGTCACGATGTGAAAGTCTGGCAATCTTTTATGATACACAGTTTGTCATTAGAAAGCTATCAAAGACGACATTATAACCTTCTCTCAATTTGCATGTGTACTGTGTAGTTAGACATGCATACTGTAATCGTCATAGATTTAAGGCGATATTTAAAAATCTTACGATTCAAATAAAAAAGTAAAATAAAAAAATTGACTTTTTGTTAAATTTTATATTTACTTACATCAATCATTTCTTCTATTTCTTCTTCTGTTGGATTTGAACCTAAATATTTTTGTTAAGTAATAAATCTTTTTTTTCCGGCCAAAAATTAAAAATCCAGGAGTGTAGGAAAAAAGCAGCATCATCGGAATGGTACCGGAGACCCCAACCGCTACCATACCGGAGACCCCAACATTGTCAACGGAGACCCCGAAGTTTTCAATGGAGGCCCTAAATAAATAGTTAACATGTAAAAGTTTATGATAAAATAAATTCTTTAACATTTTATACAATCCAGAGCATTTTACATTTTCAAAATTCTAACTATTTTATTTGGGGTCTCCGATGAAATCTTTGGGGTCTCCATTGAAAATGCCGGGAACTCAGGTAAGGTAGCTGTAGGGGTCTCCGGTGGGACGGGGACTCCGGCAGCATTCCGATTTCCGGTGATGATGCTTTCTTCCTGGACTCAAAATCCAGGTAACAATTTTGCGGAAAATCCACGGAAAATTTATAGAAATCTTGCACAGGAAGATATTTTTGGGAAAATTGGTGAATTTCTCGAAACTAAGAGTTTTTTTTCAGTTTCTCACAAAATCCGTTAATTGGTGATCAAGTCCTGAGTTTTTCTCAGGAAATCCTAAGGAAATATTCCTCAGAAATTCTCAAGAATTTCCAAATAAAAATTCCTGAGAAACTCTCAGGAATTTTTGAGTCAATGCCTCCTCTTATTCAGTTCCCCAAATAATCCGTAAAATTGGTTACAAGTCCTGAGAAATTCTCAGGAATTTCTTTGAGAAATTCTCAGGAATTTCTTGGAAAAAATCCATAGAAAATCTTAGGAATTTCTCGAAAATTAGTCACAAAACTCTGATCCCAAAAAAATCTCTAAAATTGGGGACCAATTCTGGAGAAATTCTGGAGAATTTCTGGAGAATTTCCAAGGGATAGGTCACAAGAGCTTAAGTTCTTGAGAAATTGTTCGGAAATTTTTAAATGCAAGTCACCAAAGCTAACGAACTTGGGGAAGTTCCTCCCTTTTGTTACCTGTCACTGTGAAGGAACTTTTCATACAATAATTCAACCTCTTTATTTTGATTAAAACCCTGCTATAGATATTTTTAAATGATGATTGATATATTTATGCAAACATGTTCAGATTCATTTTCAGAGAATGGAGTAACAGTTACAAAATACAAAATGTTAATTTGCATTTTTAATTTAAAGAAAGAGCATGAAGGATAATAATTCCTTATTGCATACTGTATATTGGTTATTAACATGTCTGATTATTTTACCAATAGATCTCATTACAGCTCCCAATTCCTTGGTAGACACAGTTCCATCCCCATCCTTTATAAGAATTCAAAATTATTACAATGGAAGGAAATGTCAACAACAAAAGTTAGGTAGTACTTCATAGAGGTTTTTTTTCTGAATTGGGAAAAATAAATAAAATTTTGGGTAAAAAGTAATAAAAGGAAGAAAAATCTTGTATTTTGCTGATAGATTCTTTAAAATATCCACCCCAGTACTTACAAGGGATGTCTGTACTACTATCCCAGTACTACTTACAAGGGATGTCTGTACTACTATCCCCAGTACTTACAAGGGATGTCTGTACTTCTATCCCAAAGGGTATGAACACTTTGAAAAAATTACCTTAAATTCAAATTGTAATTAAAGGCCAAACTTTTAATAAACAACATATATCAAATTTTGGCTAGATTGAAGCTTTTTAAAGCAGAGACAAGAAAATAAATTGTAAACATTTCTTCCATTTCAGACTGAAAAAGTAAAAAATCACCTAATGTTTCTTTAATTGATAATGCATTATGAAGTTCTTTGAAAAATTTTATTGATCATTCCCAATAAAAATATAAATAAAAATTTTGTACGTATTTTTTCCAATCATCCCGTATGAAGAAGGGGAAACCCGATAAATGTAATCCCTTTATTTTTTAATCAAAATCCCTAGGAATCATATCTTAAAGTATCAAAAGTGTGGGG